CCTTTTTCACTGGTGGACGTGATAGAACGCTCACGTCTAACAATTCACTCGCCAACTTGGTGATATGAGATCCTCTTTCTCAATAATATTCCAGCAAAGCTGGAGGCCAACGTAGTGAGCATACCATCGAAGGAATTCCAGACGCTCAATTTGCTGTGTCCATATTAGGTCCAGTGCAATCTGACCTGACGTTACCGAACTTGACTTTGAAAGTTATACGTCTGCCACGGGAAGGTTTTGTTGTCCGTTGTGGGGTGGAACCCAAACTGATTGACGTTCGATAATTGGATACCGAAGTGACACTAACATGCACTCTAATTTCTCGTTGCTGGGGGCATTAACTGCGTGGCGGCTAACACCGTGATAGAAGTCGCTGAGAACAAGGACCAAGACAACACCCACAGGTACCCTTACCATTTTGTATTATAATCACTCCATATCCCTATAGTGTTGCTACGTTGGTATTATTATAAATTCGTGCAAGCTCTTCGAGTCTTCTCCCTGTTTGGTGTATACTACAAATTGGCGACCCCGCTAGGGTGAAAATCCAAGGAAAACCTTGTGGCGACTCCGCACGTTCACCGAAAAGCAAAGCTGAACTGCCATCGGATGTAATGCCTGCACTAATCAGCATTCTGGACCGTCTATCGACGAACAGCCAATCTTCAAAACCATGTCCCCCGATCCCAATTCCGGAAAGGTTTGCAATCGGTAATCATTATAACCGATGGGAGAAGCAAACACAAATCTACCTTCGGCACTTTCCCCATGAGAAACACGCCGACCTGGGGTATAGCCTGTTCACTGGCAAAGCATTCGATATTGTCTCCGAATCCCGAATTCTAGATGACGAGGCAACAGACGACACCTTTAAGAGAATCCGACAACTCTTAGACACCCATAAACTAGCGATCGAGTACCGTCGGGAGTTTCACTCCCGCCGGCAACTGGCTGACGAAAACGTCCGCACCTACGTTCGAACTCTGTGAAATTTAGCAGACCGCGCATTTCCAAACCTGTCCAGCTTCGAACGCGATCTGCGGATCTTAGAACAACTCGTCGAGGGCACATCATCCACCAGCGCTCAAAAAGAGTTCTATCTTCAACACCCTGAAGAATTAAACGAAGCCGTTGAAAGGGTCGAACTGTTAGAGAGACGCGACGCCGCGATAGCCCGCCAGAGCGGAGCGCATTGCCCTCACACACCCTATTCTTTCCATGTTGGAACTCCTCGATACGCACCACCAAGAAGTACAGCCAACTCCCGCCGACCCGGACGTTGGACTTGGCGGGGCCGACGTGGCCAACGAGGGCCTTGGAGCGGAACCAGAAGAGGTGAGCCCCCATCAAATATCATCACCTCA